TGCTCAGGTATGAAAATGTGCTGCTCAAACACTATACTTTTCCGCTCACACGGAAAAAAAATTAGAGGGAACATTGGTTTTCTCTCTCTTTTTTTTGGATCATTTTTTGCTTTATCGTTTTTATATGCTTTCTTTAACCTCCACTTTTGTGCACATCTTCAGTAAAACTTTTTAAAGATAAAGACAAATGCACTGTTTGGTTTGGTTATAAACCCACTGGATTCCACTGCCTAATCTCCTGGATCTGTTGAATCTTTGCTCAGACCAGGTTCTCATTTTAGGTGATCCACTTTCTCATTTTCTGATGACTTTTTGTTTTTTCCCCCCAGGCCTGGGAGGTCATGCGTATCTGAGAGAGTGGCTCTGGTGGGGAGGCCTAATATCCAGTAAGTAAATCTTGTGATTTCTCTCACTTCCCTTAAACATTTTAATTTATAAGGCCAGTGGCAGAATGTCGACATTCTTGAAGGAAGGAGCTTCCTCTCCCATAAACCTTGCTAAGAAATCTACAAAAGCAATTACCATACCGTTTAAATATTGTCGTATTTTAGGGGGCATCGTCAACCTAGAAGACTCATAAACACGCAAAGGGAACTTCACCGATGTGCTTCCGGTTGTCAGATTAGTTATTTGCTCCTTACCCCGCCCAATGGATGCCGTGGTACCAACCCACTTTGTATCCTGGGGGGGGGGGAGCAGGGGGGGAGTCTTAACTATTTCCGATCACAACTGAGGAGTCAGTAAGTGACTCTGCCTTGGGTCAAACTCAGAACAAGCAACGACTGAATTTCATCATTTACAAGTTGGGGTTTTTTGCACTCCTGATGAGTCGTTTTTATTTTACAGTGGGAATTGGAGAAGCTGCAAATTTTGCGGCCTATGCTTTCGCCCCGGCCACGCTGGTTACCCCTCTGGGAGCCCTGAGTGTTTTAGTCAGGTACGTTCATGTTATAAAGAAACATACTTGTAGCTCGGGGTTGAAAGAAGGGGTCCTTGGTGCTCTCTAAGCTTGGCTGTTTTCTCACGGATGTTTCACAACCCAACTAGGCAACATTATCAGTGCTTAGAAGGGAGAGGGATTTGAGGACGAGGACGGTGGGATTCTTGGTATTCCCGGAGCTTGGCGGTTTTCTCACGGATGTTGCACAACCCAACTAGACAACATTATCAGTGTTTACAAGGGAGAGGGATTTGAGGGGGAGGAGGACTGTGGGATCCTTGGTATTCCCTGAACTTGGCTGTTTTCTCACGGATGTTTCACAATCCAACGAGGGAACGTCATCAGTTAGTGCTCAAAGTCATTTATCGGACACATCTTAGAGATGACTCCTTAACATCTAGGATGGCAGAGCTATTGCACCCATGCCGGAATTGGAACACAGAGCCATTTTTCCGGGCATGCCAGCTGTCGCTTGTTGCTCTTCCGGTTTTGCACGCACAGCTGGTTTTCATGTGTGCGGGAGCACTGGAAACTGGAAGAGCAGATCCCTGGCGTGCGTGTGCGCCTGGAAGCTGAGCTTCCGGTTTTCCGGCACACACATGCGCGCCGGCCACCTGGTCTATGCACATGCGTACATTCCACAAACCGGAAGACCAACTGGAAGCTCAGCTTCCTGCGCGCGCATGTGCCCGGAGAAATTGCTGTTTTGGTTTCCGGTGCTCGCTCCTGCGTACACACACTCCCGTTTCGGCCCTTAGTGCTGAAAGGTTTCACCAGCACTGATCTAGGACTATCTCTGTAGCTGCTGTGTTTTCTCTTCAAGCAACCTAATCTTGAGAAGCCTTTTATTTATTTTTCCTTTTCCTTCAAAAGTGCTGTTTTGGCCTCCTATTTCCTGAATGAGCAGCTGAACATCCATGGAAAAATCGGGTGCCTCCTGTGCATTTTGGGATCTACTGTGATGGTGATCCATGCTCCTCAGGAGGAAACGGTTGCCAGTCTGGATTCCATGTTGGAGAAACTGAAGGATCCAGGTACAGAAAGCCTGTTTCCTAGTCCTCGGCTTATGACCACAGTGGAGGCCAACGTTTCTGTTGCGAAGCGGTACAGTTGTTAAGTGGGTTCTTGCCCCATTTTACAGCTTTTCTTGCTAGATGACCTTCAGGGTCCCTTCCAACTCTATTCATCCAGATCTGAATCACTACAGTTATGAACTTAGTTAACACAGTCGTTAAGTGAATCCAGCTTCCCCCTTGGCTTGGCTCGTCAGAAGGTTGCAAAAGGCAATCACATGACCCCGGGACACTGCAACCGTCATAAATACGAGTCAGTTGCCAAGCATTTGATTTGTGATCACGGGGATACGGCAATGGTCATTGCGCTGTGAAAAACGGTCGTAAGTCACTTTTTTCAGTGCTGTTCTAACTTCGACAACAACAGTTGAGTCCAAGTGTCAACTTGCAAAGCATCCCTGGCCTACTCTCAAGTTGCCATAGGCAGAGGTGGATGGGAAAACGGACTTTGCAGGTGCAGTGAGGCAGTTAAAACAAAAGCACATTCCAGCCATCTCTGTCAAGGCCATTTCCATGGTTACCCACAGTGGCTGGAGGGGAATGATCTCTACAACCCCCAAAATTGCTTCATTGGAGAATGACTGATGACACATCTTGGGAGAGGGGTGGGGGGGAAACAGGGTCAGAGCCAGGACGTAAATTAAGTGGGGTCAGAGCTGGCTTCACTTAGGAATGTGCCGACATGAAGCTCCTAAGAAATAACTGGGTTTCTTTTGAAGCTTGGCTCGAGCCTCACGATTTAATTAGAGCATCGGTGGAAACCCTGACACTGAGTCACAAGCCATCTTTTATTTCCCTTCCTCTTCCAGGATTCATCGTCTTTGCCACCTGCATGCTGGTGAGTTCGGCTCTCCTCATCTTCGTGGCCGCGCCTCGCTACGGGCAGAGGAACGTCCTGGTCTACATCCTGATCTGCTCGTCCATCGGTTCGCTTTCCGTCGCTTGCGTCAAAGGCTTGGGCATTGCCCTGAAAGAGCTGTTTGCCGGGAAGGCCGCCTGGAAAGAACCGTTGGGCTGGATGCTTTTCCTCAGCTTGGTGGTCTGCATCAGCGTCCAGATCAACTACCTGAACAAGGCCCTGGACATCTTCAACACCTCTGTGGTCACCCCCATCTACTACGTCCTCTTCACCACGGCTGTTATGACCTGCTCCGCCATCCTCTTCAAGGAGTGGCAGCATCTGCTCCTCATGAACATCGTCGGTACCATAAGCGGCTTCCTCACCATCGTGCTGGGTATCTTCCTTCTCCATGCTTTCAGAGATGTGCCGTTCACTGCCGATCTGTTGCCCGTCTTCCTGAGACATAAGCAGAAAGATCTACCGGCGGCTTCGTGGAGGGAGGGAGCAGATAAAGAGCGGACGTATCTTCACCAGCCTCTTCTGGATTCAGAGGACTCGCAGAAAGGGACAGAGAAAGCGGACGACAGTCAATGTTTATGAAAGCTCAGGTTGACTAAAAACTATTTAAGCTCTTTTGGGGGTTTCTTCTCCCCGTTTCTTTAAAAATTTAAGTGTTTTTACTGGGAGCATACTTGATGGTAAGGGACGCAGTGGCTCAGTGGCTAAGATGCTGAGCTTGTCGATCAGAAAGGTCGGCAGTTCGAATCCCTAGCNGAGGTAATTTAAGGTGGTTCTGACAAGTGTCGTAGACATCTTCATATCCAGTCACATGGGCGGCAAGCCACTCCCATTCGGTCACATGGGTGGCAAGCCACTCCCACAAAGGAGGCCACACCCACAGAGTAGGTTCGAACAATTTTTGAAACCCATCACTGGTTGGCGCAGCCTAGCAGTCTTTAACAGGGCTGTCGTGTGAATCCAATTAGGGGGAAAATCCTCCCTTTAAGCTGCTTTGAGCTTTCCAAAGAAAAGCATGGAAAGAAACACACCTAAAGGCCCAATGGCGAAGCACTACATATTGGCACACCAGGAGCTCCCAATATAAAACAGAAGAGTGCCACTCCGTGCAGCCTCCTGGTTCTTAGATGCCACCCAGAAGCCTGCTTGGCACGAAGCTAAGAGCTCTTCTCCCCATAGAACGGTATTTCTCAACCTTGGCGACTTTAAGTCCTGTGGACTTCAACTCCCAGAATTCCCCAGCCAGCTGGCTGGGGAATTCTGGGAGTTGAGGTCCACAGGACTTAAAGTCGCCAAGGTTGAGAAACACTGCCATAGAAGCACCCTGTTATTGCCAGCAGCAGCTAGAACTCCACTCCTAGGAGATTGCGCCTGGCAGTGGAGGCTCTATTCCAGCCTGCTGAAAGCTAGTGCACCCCCCAATTTTGGGGGATACCGCAGAGCTTCAGGGGTAGGGAAGGCTGCTCCAGGAAAACACCAGTGGCTCCAGCGCCCCATTACTTCCCTTATCCCAATGGGGACAAATCAAGTGGCAGAGAGTGGTCCTTTGGGAGGGAGAGGGAATTGTAGGTAGTTCTGTCTACGGAGATTCTCAGTCATCCAGGTCTTTTTTCTCCCAAAGCTGTTTTTTTTTTCAAGGAGGCAACTGGGTTTTGAAGACATTTCGTTTCTCATCCCAGAAGCTTCTTCAGCTCTGACTGGATGAATGAATTCTTCCATTCCCCACCATCCAGTCAGAGCTGATGAAGCTTCTGGGATGAGAAGTGAAACATCTTCAAAAACCAAGAAACTCCACTTGCCTCCTTGGGGGGAAAAGAGCACCTTTGGGATATAGGTAGTTCTCTGCGTACAACAGTTCCTTCAGGGGCTGAAGTTACAACCTCACCGAAAATGGGGAGCTTATGGCCATTTTCCACAGGTGCACAATGCCCTGATCCAAATTCAGCTACTTGGCAGCTGACTCAGACTTACGACGGTTGCAATGTCCCAGAGTCACTTTTTGGAGCTTCTTTTTGCAACCTCCTCACAAGCAAAGCCAATGGGGGTGGGGAAATCAGATTCACTTCGTAACCACGTCACTCGTTGAACCTCTGCAACGATTCACTTAACGACTGTGGCAACAAAAAGTGGGCAAAACCCACTTAACCAATGTCTCACTCAACGACTTAAATATGGGGCTCAATCCGTCGTAAGCTGAAGACCCCCCCCTGTACTATTGGGGGAAGGTTCCTTATCCCCCTCCCCTTTCCCCTCTCCCCATTCCAGTGGCAGGGAGTTCCGTCGGCCCTCCCTACCCAGCACAGCTCCGTCATCTGGTGCACGAGCTGCTGGAACCGCTGCTTCTGCGTCTCCACCTCGATGAAGTGCTGCAGCTGCGGGTCGTTGACGGCCGCTCCCAAGTCCCCCGCGACGGACGACGGGTCCATGCCGGGCCCGCCTTGGAAGGGGAAGAGCGCGGGCGGCTGAATGGATTGAGCGGGCGGGCGGACGAGCGACCTTCACGTGCCTTCCCGGGGCCGGCCCCTCCGCGCATGCGCGCCCGGCGCCCCGCTGCTTCCTTTTTTTTCCGATCCGAGGGCGCACGCGCGCTTCCGTTTTCCGGCGGAGCATTCGAGAGGGAAGCGGCAAGAAGGGCCGGTAGGGAGTCTTTTTTTTTTTTTTTTTAAGAGGAAATCAGACTTTGGGGCGCCCTCTCCAGTTTTGGAGCGGTACTCGCTCGACGTCAACCCAATCTAATTACAGTGTCACTAATGTATTGTAATTTTCTTACCAACAAAAGTAGATAGGTAGGCAGGCAGGCAGGCAGACAGACAGACAAGGTAGGTACGTAGGTACGTAGGTAGGGTAGGGTAGGGTAGGGATGGGTGGGGGGTGGATGGATGGATGGATAGACTGTCTGTCTGAGACAGACAAGGTAGGTAGGTAGGTAGGTAGNTCCCGTTACTTGTCCCAGCTTCTGCCAACCTAGCAGTTCGAAAGCACGTAAAAAAATGCAAGTAGAAAAATAGGAACCACCTTTGGTGGGAAGGTCACAGCGTTCCATGCGCCTTCGGCATTGAGTTATGCCGGCCACATGACCACGGAGACGTCTTTGGCTCTTCGGCTTTGAAACGGAGATGAGCACCGCCCCCTAGAATCAGGAACGACTAGCACATATGTGCAAGAGGAACCTTTACCTTACTTGATGGTAGTCCTATTAAGAGTCAAGCTGGTAAGACTAGCAATAGTTATGGGGATGGTGTAGCTTGTTTCTTTCCAGCTTCCAGAAAAAAAGCACGCCAAGTCAAGTTTTTTTATATATATAAAAAGTGGTTGGGGGGAATATGCTTATAGGTGTATTGTTGTAAAAATACGAATACCTCCATGAGCCCAGGAATGGCCAAGCAATCTTGTCCCACATGGGAATGGAAGAGGCACCCCAGAGAAGGAGGATAGGAACAAGAGACAGAGAGGAACATGGAGAAAGAAAATATTTTCTTTTTCCCTTCCGAGTGACAGATAAGAATTGGAAGAAAATGGAACGACCTTGAAGGCTGAGTAACCATAAACGGGGAGTATTTAGCTCTTTAAACGAGGCACACATGGAAAAAAAATAAGCAACAGATCTATTGAAATGTGTCCCCAAACTTTTCTTTACCCTGAAGATTCAATTTTTTCCCCCTTACAGCTACTCTCTGAATCCACTAGTATTCTGTTGCCTTTTGAATGTACAAAGCCTTTTAGGCTTTGCCTTAAGCACTATAAATTTTGTAAAATAAAACATTTTCTTTATACGACTATTAAGGTACGTTGCAAACGTAAAGTGTGACTTTTAAAAGCGTTATTAAAAAGTATTTTTCAAACGTGTTTCTTTGGCTTATTTTTTTTCCTTTAAAAATAATAAATCAATCGCATATTTCAGGTTGAGGAATGGACTTGTACTGACTGACTGCCCATCTAATTTTTGTGTTGGCAATCCATCCCTGGAGTGAATCCCTAAATCACCTTTCCTTTCTGTTTTCCATTCTAGCAGCAGCACAGAATGTAATAAGGTGGGTGATTGGCCATTTAAGTGTAGAAAAGTGACCTCTTCTTCCTTTGGACATTTAGGAAAACAAAGCTTTGGGAGTTTGGACTGCAAAATGAAAACACTAGTCCAAACCAGTATAAGTCAGGAATACCAGTCCTAAGTTTCTGATCTGTGATAACAAAGGCTGCCTCTTAAGTTCCCAGTTTTTTTTCCATTTGTACTCAGCTTAGTTCCATCATATCATTTATCCAAGATATATATGTATACTGTAATGTCAATTTTGAGAGCTACAATATGTCAGCCAGGCAAAGATAAGTCTTTTATCGATCAGCCAATAAGTTAACCATATTCAAAGTGAGGAAAAAACACTTCCGTTCCCAGGTACCAAGACCTCAGTTCTAAATTTTTTTAAAGGTTAGTAAATTTAGTTTTGAGGGATGCGGCAGCTCAGTGGCTAAGACACTGAGCTTGTCGATCAGAAAGGATGGCAGTTTGGTGGTTTGAATCCCCACCTCGCATTACATGTCCCATCTTCTGCCAACCTAGCAGTTCAAAAGCATGTTAAAATGCAAGTAGAAAAATAGGAACTGCCTTTGGTGGGAAGGTAACAGCATTCCGTGTGCGTTTGGCACTGAGTCATGCCAGCCACATGACCACGGAGACGTCTTCGGACAGCGCTGGCTTTTCAGCTTTGAAACAAGATATGAGCACCGCCCCCTAGAGTCAGGAGCAATTAGTACCTATGTGCGAGGGGAACCTTTACCTTTAAATTTAGTGGTTGTATTTATGAATCATTGGAAACTGAGCCTTTTTTTTCCTCCATAATTTTCTGGGTTTCCATCATATGACCATTGATAAGACCATGGGAAAGAGAAAAACAACAAAATAGTTAACAAGCCTGGAGGAGGTAATTCGTAAAATTTTAGATATCCCCACAGATTAAACATTTAGCATGTGTCAAGTTTTAGGACACCAAGACTTAGTTGCAAGAGAAAGCCTGTATTTTTGTCAGTCATTGGCAGACCAATGCAGCAATCCTTCTATAATCTGAAGAGTTAGATATGGCTAAGCTAGTGAAATAATTTATAGCAGAAACCCAATTAAACGTCTCATATTTACATTCTTCTCTCCAAAAAATTCTTTGTCTCACACATCAAATGACTTTACCACTGGCAATGAAATCATCTTTGGTTAAAAAGGCAGTGTGACCCGTCAAAACCGCGCTCGACTAAGCCGCGCCTGATTAAACTGCGTCGCTGACGTCATCAACAGGGCGACAACAGCCAGCGCGGAGAAAGAAGGGTGCTTTAAATAGCGCTTTGAAAGCAAGCCGATTCAACTTAAGGTAAGGGTTAGGTTTAGGGTTAGGTTTAGGGTTGGGTTAGGTTAAGGGTTAGGGTTAGGTTAAGGGTTAGGGTTAGCTTAAGGGTTAGGTTTAGGGTTAGGTTTAGGAGGGTTAGGTTTATGTTTAGGGGTTAATTTTAGGTTTAGGGTTTACAGCGTGCTTCTGTCTCCGCGCTGTTGTCGCCCTGTTGACGTCAGCTACGCGGTTTAGTCGGACGCGGTTTAGTTGAGCGCGGTTTTGTGGTGGAACCAAAAAGGCAGTAGGGCCAGCAAACTCTGCAACTTTACTGAAGTCGTACATTCCCAGTCAGTGGACAAGGCGCAATTAAAACTCATGATTAGACACTTCATGGACTGCCTGCTTTATGAACTGACCAGCAATAGGCCAATTGCAAGCACCAGGATTCGTTCTCAGGTTGATGCAGAGTCCAGAATTTAAACCCTCTTCGAGTGCCACACTTTTTAGTCTGGAACTAACCTTTTGAGCGCCAAAGAATGGAGGCCTTTGGACTCTGATGCTGGAGAAGATTCCTGCGAGTCCCTTGGACTGCAAGGCAATCAAACCGGTCAGTCCCAGAGGAGATCAACCCTGACTGCTCTTTAGAAGGCCAGATCCTGAAGAAGAAACTCAAATACTTTGGCCACCTAATGAGAAGGAAGGACTCCCTGGAGAGGAGCCTAATGCTGGGAATGATTGAGGGCAAAAGAAGAAGGGAAGACAGAGAATGAGGTGGCTGGATGGAGTCACCGAAGCAGTCGGCGTGAGCTTAAATGGACTCCAGAGGATGGTAGAGGACAGGAAGGCCTGGAGGAATGCTGTGCATGGGGTTGCGATGGGTCGGACATGACTTCACAACAAGAAGAAGAAATCTGGAACATGCAATTGCTACTAAAAGCATCCCCCTCTACATCAGAACTACGGCGAACTAAAAGGAACGACCACCGAGTCGGAACAGCTTAAAATGCATCCAATTGATCTTTATTCCACTGATCGGGAGGCAAGGAATTTGATGTAGAAAGTCAAGATTTGATTTTGGTACTTGGCAAGAGACATACAGGACCACATGAGCGATAACTCCTCTTAACAGCCACAGGCCTGGCGGGTGTGTGTGTGTGTATGTATGTGTGTGTTTCTTTCTACTGTGCTGAGGTAGGTTTGGAAAAAAAACACCTCAAGAAAGACAACGGGTCTCTACTGGTGCCCTTTTGCAAATTCATTCCTGTAAGCCCCTCTGTTTTACAAAGGTTAGCTCAGCTGCAAGTTCAAGCAAGCAACATCTGGATTGTTTGAAAGAGCCGTGCTTATGCACAGTACCGTTTGAAAGGCACGTTTGCACCCCTACTTTCCCCCCCGGATCTGCGTTAGTATCTCAGGCCTCCCAGTCCCCTTATCTCAAAAAAGAACATTTTTCAAGTTTCAAGGAGTGTGCTTTCCCTACCTTACTGCTGGGTAAAGATAGTCAAGCCACCATTCTGGTTATGAAGCTCCCATTATCCAGGGGAAGAAAAGAAAAAAAATTAAAATCTAGGACAGCAGAAGTCCGGGTTAAATAGCAGGTGTGTGATGTCGCATGGTTATTCATGTTCACCCAGTGGGGAATTTTAAGACCAGAATTAGACCAGGTGACCAGGAAGCCCTGAAGTCCATCGCAAACGTGGGGGCCAAGCTCCCTCCCAGCTTATCATGGTTAAAAATCCTTCCTTCGGTTCTTTCTCCTCCTCTTCCATTCAAATCGGCGTCCCCCTCCTCCTTCTTTCAAAACGAGTAAAACAGCACCACGGAAGGCTTCCGCTCAGTCGGAGAGGCTCTCGGAGAAGGGCGACTTGGATTTCTGCGTCTGCTCCAACCGGTTCAGGATAAACTGACTGGTGTCAATGAAACGCTCGACACAGTTCACAAAGCAGGTCTCGGCTCGGCTGTCCAGCTTGGGCCCAGGCTTATCCATGCACTTCTCCTGTTTCGTGTCACAAAGGAGAAGTCATTCAACAGCGAGGGGAACCCTCATTCCTGTGACTAGCAAATACATAAATACATTTTTAAAAAATTTCTTTTTCTCAGCCTACCCAAATTGCTGCCAACTGTACCGAGATTCATTTCCACCCACACATGTAAAACTCAACATGTACACTTTGTAACAGGTAGGTAGGTAGGTAGGTAGGTAGGTAGGTAGGTAGGTAG